ATTAAAGGAAGTGGGTACACGGTGCACAGGAGAGTTGCTGGTGCTTTGCTGATGTTTGGCAAGTGGGTGTGTCCTGCCAAGGAGGGTCCCGGCCTAACTCTGTCCGATAGCACACTGAATTCAGTGTGAGGCAGCGTACAGCTATGTGTGAAGAATGCCTCAAAATCTGCAACCAAGGCAACTGGATTTCCAACCTCATTGCATATGCATGGAGTCAGAGGCTCATGCTCAGATCATTATAACAAAGATTCCTATTAATTAGGTGGGATAAAGCAGAACCAGATGACATGGCAGCTGGGATGAGAGGAGAGGGGTGAGGGAGGAAGCTGAGAGAGGAGGGGAAAAGGTGCATCAGTCTGTTTGGGGGGAGGGGATGGGGTGCTGTATATAACATAATGTATAATACAGACTGCACTATACAGAATATATCTTTAGAAAATATTTTGAATGCTACATTTAAGCTAAATAAACACCCAAAAATAAATCTGTTGGTGCTATTAAGCACCTGCAGACAATTTCCAGTGAGCCTCCATGTGGAGTCAGCAGGGGCTGTGACACTGACAGGGGACAGTGTTACAACAGAGTCAAGAGTTCATCAGTGCTAATCAGACCACAGGCTTAGAGCTGATCCTATTCTCTTCCAAAGCTTTCACCCCTCCCTGAATCTCATTACATGGCCTGTTGTAATAGAGGATAATGACCTGGGGCTACACACACAATGCTGATCACTCCCCCACACTCAACCTACTGCACAGTCATTAGACAGTGATAATACACATCCTCACCAGGAGGATTACACTTAGAAATAGAGGAGAGGTGATGCAGGCAAAGGGAGGGAAAGAGAGGTCTAAGTGATAACACAGGAACACATCCATATAACCCTGTGCCCGAACATAACTAGTTCACAATGGCGCACCATGTTGTACTGTTTTATGTCACCAGCAATGGATAGGTTACCTGCTGCTGAAATAAGGGAAACTCTTTTCTCAGTATCCATTAAATATCCTTCTATCTGAGATTAAAGGAGGTTGCAGTTTGGCTGAATGGTGGCATGGTTCCCCTTTGCTAAGCTAATTAGCCATGATTCTGTCAAGGGGCTCCAGGTGTTGAGTATTCTGCTTGAGCACCTACTGTATCCACTCTGACAGGTCTAAAGAGCTGTCGTATTAAGGAAGGGCATCTTCTTTGTGTGTGTGTGTGTGTGTGTGTGTGTGTGTGTGTGTGTGTGTGCGTGTCAAATGTCCTCACACCACGCCTATTCACTGTCTGCATGAGTCGCATCACGTGCACCACCGTTTTCTCAACAGCATCCAGGGAACTAAGCCATGATGGATTCTGGACACCAGCTAGAACCAGCTATTGTAGTTTCAGTAGTAAAATGTTGGACAAAGTTTGACTTCACTAATAAGAAACTAGAACACTGAATGGTAAATAGGCATTATTTTGGAACACAGCTCACAAAATGAGACTTCCCCTGTCTCAGCATACCACACTCAGTAACACAAAGATGACATACATGACTGCATGTTTTACTGGCAAGAACTCAAGCAGTAGATACTGAGCCCAGAGAAATCCCTAAAAGCTAGGACAGGGAGCTTAAACTCAATTACCCGTCCTTGTCTTGGGGGACGATCATAAAGACTCACCACACAACGCATTTTCTGTGTTGACTTGCACAGTATTGATTCATACTTTAGTGCATTATATAAAACTGTTCTAATTGCATGTGAATCAAATCAAGGTCACCTTGGGTTTTTATAATGGTGGCTATTTTTCCTTTTCCCCCTAATACTTTATACTGACATTTTTAACTCTTGACAAGTGCTGTCTGGAGACTTAACCATAAATAATGCATTTACAATACCTAGTAAATAAACATGGGGCACAATCGTTAGCCCTGCTGGCAACTTGGCCTAATAGAGCTTTTACAGCAAAGGTGACTATTCAGCTAAATGTGGTGCTCGCTGCTGGGAGGACATTTTCATTCATTAGCACAGTCACAAGCACTTAAAGCACTTCAAGGACCAGAAACGGAGAGGAAGGGTGGAAGGACAGAGAGGGTGAAAGGGTACAAATATATAGCGATGGAAGGATGGAGAAGACAGTGAGCACCGCCTGTATTGTTATCATGTTATTCTCCATTATACTATGTCTTCATGGTCAATGAAGGAAACTCATTCATCTTTTTTCTTTGAATGAAATAGTAGTAAATGTTTTCTTACAGGTGAATTTAAATGTTCCCATGCACTTTAAACAACAGGAACATGTATTGGGTTAGAAAGTTATGTAAATTAAAACTCACCTAGAGGAAAACTGATACAGTATTCCTTTTGTTTCGCAGATAAAGGGGGACAAATTAAGGAACCTTTTTCCACCTGTTCTTGAGGCATAAACACTGTAGATAAAACAATTTAGATCAGACTTTGAAAAAGGATCAGAATTGTGTTTTCTCACTAGCCTCTCAGGGCTTTTGTAGATATCAGCTAACGCTACGATAAAATGGGAATCTAATGAATCTAATTTGTGGTTCTTACAACAGAAAACAATTCATATCTAAAAAAAAAAAAAAAATGACTCAATAGTAAGAAGCACTGGGACATTTGGATAACATGTCCAAGAGGCTTCTTAACCCAAAGCTTCCAGTCTTATCACTTTAAGTGGTCCACATGTACTGTGTAAAAAGTGTACCACAGACCATTTGTTTTCCCTCTACACTTGAGGTCACCACATTTATCCATCAGTACAATGAACTATCTTGACCAGACAAGGAAGTCCAGAGAAGAATGGTAGCAGATGGTGAAGAGTCCCTGAGGACATTGAGATCCCGACCAGACAGGCACCGAAGCAGCAGAATCATACACAACAGTTGTCATGCTTAGATAAGCAATATATTTAGCTCATCTGTTGCTTGCGCCACATTAGCAGCATTATTAAGACAACAAATGGCTTCTCCAACCTTCTTCTATTTCGCTAACCGGTTAATCCTGCCCTTTTTAATTTTCAACAGTGGCTATCTCCATAAAGAAAGATATACAATTATGATTTCTGCGAGATTTTCCTTTCGCAGTTTTTAAGAGTCCCTCTGCCTTCATTTTACAGTAATCACTGATCATCACCACTGAAGCTTCCTCAAGTGCGCTCAAGAAGAGACTATCTCTCGGTTCCTGCAGCTTGGGGACAGCATACTGAACTTTGTGAGGCTCTTGTCTTCGGCTGTGTTCCCTGCTCAGAAACTAATTTCCTTCAACAAGGGAATTTATTTAGGTGCCGATAATACACAGCGCATGAGGCAAACCAAGTCTCTATTATTAACAGGAGATTAAAACAGCTGTATGGCACTCTAAAGCACCCTCTCCTCCTTGCGTTAACATACGGCCCTGGATTACAAGCTGCACTTGACCATTTAAATTACTGCAACAACCAGCCTTCACCAGCTGGGGCTCATTACCATAACGCCCGCCGTTGCTACAGAGACCACTGACAATATTGCCCTGAAAATCAACTCTGCAAGAAACATGACACGTGAAATATATTTTTACCTTTGGGCAAAACAAAGTAGTAGTAACAGAATCGGCTTGACTTTTTTTGACTAACCACAATTTGTCCTGTGAAGCGCTTTGGGCCGTCATTCTCTTGCGTGCTGGGATCAGCTCCAGATCTAAGACCGGTAGCAAGAAGACTGCATATTCCTAATATTCATGTCTGTTGGTGTGACAGAAAGCTAGAGCATTCAGAAGAAGCCTTCGTGAACCCGGAGAAAACATGAAAACTCTTCACGGAAGCAAATGTATCTGCTGGATTATAGTATTACTTGTGATATTCACGCGGGGCTTGTGCTTTTACCTTTGGATTTTGTTCTCGTTATTACATTTTTTGCCAAATTGCCTATTTCAGTGGTCATTAGACAATATAAAAGACATCGATTACGGTATACTGGCATGTGCACCAGCATTTTTTCTGTGTTTAATGTTTCAAATACCTCTCATTCTTTATTGGTCATTTATAGGTGTTCGGGTAAATGATTGTTCTGTCTTTTATTACCTAAATGACATCAGTCTGCATATCAGGACGTGGCTAAATGATTATCCGGTGAGAGGCCTGTGATGCTCTGATACAAAGATCACTAAACGAACACTTAAAAAAGAAGTGGCAAATTATTTTTAGGCTAACAGAGGTCTAATTTATTCGTCTGATGAAGTGCTTAAGCTAAGAGCTCCCCAGACACTAAATGAGACATGCATTCCCAAGGGGTTTAAACATTTGATTGGATGTAGTTATATTACTGCAGCCCTAATTAAGAAGGGGGATGTGTTTCAGCACAGCTCTTTCAAATATTTGTTTTTCCGCCATACTCTTGATAGACTGCAGGCTGTGGGAGTGAGAGCCGAGCAGGGTGAAAGGGGGTGCAGATATGACATAGACCTTACAGTCTTATCACAGAAAAGGATTTTTTTTTTCTCTGCATGCAATTCTAGGAAAATGAAAGGTCTGAAATGTCCATGATGTGTTGAATAGGATGTGAAAAGGGCTCGGGTTGTTTGTGGGTTGCAAACTTTGATGAATAACTGCGCTGAGTAAAAACTGTTCTGTGAAGCAAAAGAAAAAGAGGTAATGTTCCTGGCATCAGGTCAGCACTATGAGTTTTATAGTCAAAGAATTTGCCTTGGCACGGAAGAAGACCACACTTATGCTGAGGTGTACTGCCACACAGTCTTTGTCACATTGGAAGAAGTTCAGAACAAACTGGAAACACTGTGACGTCAGTATTCACAGCTTGTGTGTGTACCCACATTAGTGTACGAGACGGAGAGACAAAAGAGTGAAGAGGCAGACAGTCAGGAAGTTAGAAAATGATGAGAAAGAAAGGGAAAAAGATTGGGAAGATCAGGCGCAGTTAGGAGGAAAAGGTTATTCCTACGCCCATACACACCCGCACACACACACACACACACACACAGATGGACACACACATACACAGACGGACACACAGGGAGTCATACCGTCTTGCTCTGTCTTTGTCATCTCCTCCAGTTTCTTCTGCTTCAGCGTGTCCACTACGTCTGCCAGGCTTCCTTTGCGGCGCTCCGGAGTTCCAAACGCTGATCCGCTCAGCAGGTCGCTTCGCTCCCGGGCCCCCTCCTCCGGCTTGTGTGGGGAAGTGGAATTGTTCCGGAAGGAGTACAGGGAACATACTTTATTGCTGTCAGATTCCTGTAGGACAAACAAAAGATGGGAGGGGTGGCAACGAGGAATGGTATTTCTATTATACGAGGAGCATGTTTCTGTATTCTGTCAGGGCTCCATTGAGGTTTTTGACAGTTTTTCATTCAAATGCAGTGATTGCTAGTTTTTTTTTTGCAGCTCAGAGGCGATTTGGCCATATCAAATAGCTCCTCTCTGGCTTTCATACAGCAACTTTTGTGTCGCCAACAGAGATGGCTCTGCTGGTAAATGAGATATGACAAGTGAAAAAACTGAGATGTAATGACGAGGTACACTTTCATAGGGCATATCCATAATGTGCTCTTTACTTTTCATCTGCAGAGACTACACAGAGTAACCTCCCAACTGTAATTCCTCAAATTGCTTTTGAGTGTGCATTTGTGTTGGGGTGACTGCTGTGTAATTTGTTCATTTTCTAGTGGAGACCTATTCTCAGCTGAGTGCCTTGAGCCATCGTAAATCTGTGTCCTGTCTCGAGCTGTTGTTTTTCAGTCCCACCTGTGTATGGTTTAGTATTTAACTAAGGGTCCTGTCTGTGGCTGACTGGCTGAGTGCTCCCTGTGCACAAACAGAGACGTGAAGGAAATGGGGAGAAGAATGGGAGAGAGCTTGAGGGGGAAGAGAATACTCTGCACAAGGGAGTGTATAGTCAGCACACAGACCATGGCGAAGGTTGCGTCTGACAGGATGTGGTGTTAATTATGGTTTGTGGAGTCTGAGAAAGCAGAAGGTGGCTAAGCAGCCAGAAGTTTGCAGCCTTTAACGGGGGAACAGTTAGCTCTGATTTAAACTTTGGGCTTCGTAGTGAGGGGAATAAACATGGCACACGTCTGTAGCCAACCCATACTGCAGGCCTGTCATGGAAAACTGAGCTTTAATCAACAGCAGTGTGATAACGGCATATAATACAGCAGGGTTGAATGATAGAACCATGTCTGGAGCCCCTGACAATCCTAAATAAAAAGACAGGAATGCCGTAAACAGGCCAGGAATGTTGTCAGTGCCAATTTCTCATCCCTGCGTTGCATGTCGGAGCTCCAGGCAGAGTTGCAGTGGTGTGAAGGGTGGTCTGGTACCAAGCACCAGGGTGGCACGACCTACCGGTCTACTCTGCACCTCCCAGTCCTGTGTTGGATGATTATGCAGTGTGGCAGAGACAGTGGAGAGTGCTTGAGGGGAGTGGAGCAGTGCTGGGTTAATCAGCTGGCAAAGGTTCAGGGCACAGCCCACACAGACGCATGGCACAGCAGTGGAGTCAGATAATCAGCAAAGGCAACACTCTCAGTCCTTTCGCCTTATGTCTTCCGTTTTTCTTGTCTGCATCTCTCCTTGTCATCCTCCTTTTTACCTTTCCTTTCTTTTTGCATCCTTCCTCCCACTTACTCTTTAGAGTGAGAATGAAAGAACAAGATTTCTGTTTGTTCTTTGTACTTTTCCATCATTTAGGAGCGATATGACTAGACTCATTGTCATTGACATTTGTGCTGAGAAATTTGTAAATCTCTCTGTAAACCGAAGCAATATACAAATAATCATTAGGAGTATTATAGTATGTATAATTGATAAATTAGATATTTTTGTATAATGTGCGACAAATGAAGACAACACCTGAGTAAACCTTTGCCTGTCAATTACCTACACCGTTGGCACGCACACCCCAGCATCATGCGGAGCAGTCTGCTACAGAGGTTATTCATGAGTCTGGTTTTCGTGTGCGTTGTGCTGCAATGCTGAGGGGTTGAGGGTCTCAGTGGCCAACTGCACAGCTACTTCAGAGGCCCTCAGGGTCTCTTTACCACAGACCCGTCTGTTACAGACAACCACCTGCCTCCCATGTCTATAGCCCACAAGTGCCTGTGCTCTTCTTTGCTCCGCTCACATCTAAGCAGCTCCGCACTTGGAATGTACAGCGTCTGGGATCTGGCTGCAGATGTGACTCATACACAAGAAAAACGCGTGCACCAAGAACAAGACGTGTTTCTTTAATAGCAGCAAGAACGCATCATGGTCTTCCATTGGTCAGGATGCGATTTTATGAGCCATCCACATTATTAAAAGGGAAAGTTAGAGGTCCTCTGTTTAACGTAATATTAGCTGATGGTTTAGTGTTTGGGATGCTGGGGTCTTCGGATAGGCAGCTCTGCCAGAGGTTTCACAGCATCAGGGAACCAGGGGGATGGAGCTAGGGATAGAATATCGCCTGAGCTTCTTCATACAAGCCAGGAAGAATAGGTGACTTCTGAGCCAGGATGTTTAATCCCCAAGAGAGGAGAGTAAAACAGTACGGTATACTTGAAAGTATCCAGCTTTTCTTTAAAAATAAACTTTTACTTTATCATTTATGCCCACCCCCAACTATTAACGGTTTTCTTTTATTCCATCCTCACCAGTGAGGCATCAAATAAGAAGGACAAAGGTTTATGTGTGTATGTAGAGTATGTAGAGTATTGACATGGCTCACCATGCGCTGTTGGGCTGACACCAGGGTGTCCCAATCGCTCTCTGGCGGCACGCTGCTGAGCTGCTGCATTTCATCAGGATGGGTTTTTCCATGGAGCAGGCTGTGCAGGGGCAGCTGTGGTGTGCCATGGGCCTCAGCACTCTCCTCTTTCTCCCAAGACAAGTGCTCCTGACTCATGGCATCATCCCCATCGACCACAGAGGCAAAAGGAGACGTGGCTTGCTTTGAAGACATGACTCTGCTGTTGAGCAGGAAGTGGAGAATAGAGTCAGGAAAGGTTTATCAACAGTACATGAAAAGGAACGCAGTTTCTTTGAGTATTTCATGGACCCCTTGCGGTTATGTTCAAGTCATTGTGCATGGCTGTAACTGGGATTGAATGTGGTGCACCTGAGCAGATAACGCACTGATTGAATGCTACACCTGTCCGTCGCCTGTAGCTGCTCTGGACTGTGGAGTTTGGAGCAGGCAGTGGGGTCCCTAATCCTTTGTTTAATGCAGATGGATGGCTTGATCTAGGGCTGGAACTGTGCCTCCTTGGGTCTTGGCCCAAACAGTAACTCAGGCAGTAGGTCAGCCAGGCAGTGGGGCTATCATCCAGATATAAAGTAAAAACCTGACAAATAAGTTAACTCCTTCTACTGTACACAGAGATGTAAAACAAGGTTGCTATTTCCTGTGTTAATTTTCTTTTTATTATTTATAAGTTGATTTGATTTGGTTTTGTCCTTCAACGTTTTTATAATTTTCCTTGTGCGAGTAACTTTCAAACGCAAACAAAAACCAGCCTCATCTTCTTTTGTTACCACTCGTCAAATTAGGAAACTGTTAACATTTAGCTGTGACAGTGTTCCCTCGGGCTGCCAAACCCCACTTAAGCAGCTTAAAAATCAAACTACTGTAACAGTGGAGGACTAAATTCACAAATCTGTCACATGCTTCCATGAATATTACAGTGAATATTGTACTTGACATATCAGGTACAAAGGAAACTCATGTTAATTCCTTTTACAAGCCAACTCTTTTTGGTGCAGAAATTATAAAACCGATTCCACTTTTTCTCAGAATTAATGAGGCCACACTCATGCTGTGTGCTACAATGAATGAAATTAAACACTGTGAAAAGCAAATCGAATTATGCATTTGGTATTAAATTAAAAAGGGGATAATATGGCCTTCCTACTGATGTGAAGTGGAGAGAAGGAGCTGGAGTATATTTAACTCCTAATCTGCCTTTCCCTGATCTTTTGTTCTGCTTATTTTTCTCAACTACAGGACGTTGACCATTGGTTGAGGATCCGTCTTCTCTTGAGGGTGTAGGGGGTATGTCTGTGTGTGTGTGTGTGAGAAAGACAAATTGGGGTTGTGAAGGTATGGTTCTATGTTTGTATGTGACAAAATTCTCAGGGTACTTCTTGTACTATATATATTTGATCACTGATCACCACCTGCCCCGTTCTCCTGCTCTATCCACAGGGGTCAGTGTGACAGCACTTTAGTTCCACCCTCACTTTTGCCTGGGGGGTTTGAGAGAGAGGGGGGGGGGGGGGCTCTCAAGGTTGAGGCAGGCTGTGGTGTGATGGTGTCCTTGCGCTTTCTGCTGAGAGTCAGGCACAGAGAGATAGGGAAAGATATGTTCCATTTCTAAAGGGCTTTTATGAACAAGGTCTTTGGGCCTAATAGTTAATGGTTTTACACAAGGAAGTCTGTCAAATGAGGTGTATTGTCCATGTACACGTACTGCTGAATTGATATTGTCTGTGTATGTCTAGGCAAGATTATTTGTATAGCACCTTTCAAAAACAAACTGCTTTACTAAATGCATGAAGCAACTTTTAAAAAGACAGAAAATATGAAGAAAAATACAACAAAATTAGAAAAAGGTGAAATATAAAATGACCACAAATATAATTGTGAGAGATACGATGATAAAAGACTTGCAAATCCATAATAAATAGAAATGTTTTAGTCTTGATTAAGAAGAGTTTGTAGTTGGAGCAGAATACCGATTTTCTTGACATTTATTCTAGATAAGTAACGCAGATGAATTTGCACTGTATTGAATTATCATTCAGAAACATGCACTGGTATATCCAAATAAAACAGTCACTATGCATTACCACACACTCTCTCTCTCTCATTCACTCATACACACCGGCACATAGTCACAGATCAGTCTAAATTAATCTCATATGTCTCAGCAGCTGTACAAACAAACCCAGTATATCAGGTAGATGTCAACGCAGGAGAGTGAGACCCGTGCCTGCCCGTCTCTCCTGTCTTTTAGCGTCTGAGCCTGGATGTGCCGTCAGCTGTGTCTTTACTCAATTTTAATCAGCCATTAGATTGTTTCCTGTAATTATATCAAATAGAAAGTGATCTCAAAATCAAGTACTGTTAATTGAAAATCAAAAGTCAGAACAAAGTTCTGATCACGCAAGTAGAGCGGGCAGTAGTAGTGTGTGTGTGCGTGTGCGTGTGTGTGTGCGCGCGCGCGTGGTGGGAGCGGTTCGGGCTCATAGTTCTGATGTATTTTTTATTCATGCACCCAAAAAGCCCAAGTCTCGAGAGCAACAAGCACCTCGTCCTCAATGGAGTGTGAGAGTGAAACAAAGCACTGCTTTTGTATTACACAGTAAATCAAGTGGTATTATTTTACCACTAAAATATTCAGTCTCTCAGGCACTTTTACTTTGGTCTCCAGCCATCAGTCAAACTGCTGAGGCATGAGCGAGAGAAGGGGTTAGGGAGAGAGAAAAGGAGAGAGGGAGCGATGGAGACTCCATCCTCCTGTAACATGTGTCTACAGCAATCTTGTTAAAGAATGCAACAGATCTGCGGCAGGCTCCATAACAGTATTTGTCAGCAGGAGTTAATAATTTATTAGCAGTGCTGGGAGGGCTGCGCTCAGGCAGCTTAAGAGTGCGGAGAACCCCCCCTCTGCCCCACCCCCACCTCCGACAAGCCCCATACAATACTACCTCATATTATTGAAAGGGAAAAGGGGAAGCGTGGCAGTAATTCTCTGAAAATATCTGAGGGCAACCATACGGTATTTTATTCTCACATTTGGTGCGGGGATCACAGTGCTGAGATCAAAAGGGGTTTGTGTGCAATAGATCAGCATAGATGCAACAATTTGATGAGGTTCAAAATAAGGAGAATTTGGCTGAATGTGGGTACTACCGATGCATGTAAATTCAATCACATTTTCTCATAGAACTACACTGTTTGCAGCCTCGGCATCCCTGCTTGCAAAATAAAATCAGCAAAACAGCCCTGTTTGTACAACTACAGTGTATTCTGGTGTTGTTGAAATAACTTTACCCACATTAATAATTGAATTAGTTTCTCTGCAAAATAAGCCGAAAATGTGCAAACAAAATTGTGAAGAAATGGTGAACTGATGAAGCAACTCATGAATCCTTGACAGCCTGCCCTCCCTCATGCTTGATTACACAACAACAATAGACATCTAACAAACCAAAGTAATCAATAAGTGCATGAAATGTTGCCTCCTGCCTACTATCTGACAGACAAAGCCCCAGTGACTTTGAAGACTTGAGGCAGAGACGAGCGAGGAGAGTTCGAAAAGAGAACTGGCCTATATATAGCTGACAATATTACACACATTTGAAGGATTAGGACTTAAGTTCCCCAGCCGCGGGCTCATATGGCCTGGAATGCTTTGAGTCATGAATTGTTCCCTGCGATAATGTTTCATCATCGTGCAAAACAGCCTCCGCTTAATTGGTTGTGTGGGCGTGTTGTGCACTGCTCATCTTGTGACTGATGGGCCGTGTGTCCTCGGCTATCCCATTTCTCATTTCATCGTAAAAGGGTCCGACTGAGGTTCACCCGCTGAATCTGCTCTGTCACACTGTTGACCTTTTATAGACAATGGTTATAAGTAACTCCACACCATCTCCCCCATCACCCCAACCCGCCCACATGCATGTCTCACTTCTGATGTCTTGCACCTTCAAGTTTTGATCACAAGTCCCAACAGGGGGTACAAATTACACTTTCTTCCTTCACATGCGTAGACAAATACAGAGAAAATTAAATCAATTTAATAATTGATTGAAAAAGATTGTTTAATTACTTCGCCCAAAGGAAACTATAAAAGAAGGAAGTGTCATTATCACGTGAAAGCGTTCAAATTACAAGCGTTCAAAGGTGCCAGACTTTGGTGACACTTCTATTGAAGTTAATGGGGCAGGAATGGCAAGTTCCACCATAACCCATCCTAACTGTGATGTTTCACCTTTGATTGAAAAATACTTCCACAAAATAAAACACACATTGATGTTGACAGATGCTTTTTATCTAAATGTGGGCATATTGGTTTTCCTTGTAATTGGTCTCCAAACAGCTAATGGCTCTGCTCAGCAGCTGCATTTAGCGCAACTCAAGATACTACATCATGATACATGACCAAACTATTATTGCTAACCAGACTGCAATTGTGAGCAGATCAATTTATGAACAGCTCCGACTATAACTGGCTGGACTCAATGATATGGCCTGTCAGAGTTGGGTAAATATCCTTAAGCCAAACTAGGACTTCACCGTATGCTAATGCGTTGCAGTTTGCCTCAGTGATTTACAGTCATATTAGCCGTCTAGCCTGTATTATTAGCTAGCATAGACATAAGTCATGACAGAGATTTGCTATCACTCACAATCTCTGCAGATCCCTGTATATATTTTAACACCATAATGAGAGTCATTTTTTTCTTAACATAAACTGTTTCATCTCCAAATTAATGTAGGACATCTCAACAGAGATATTGCTGGCTAACATTAGCTAAACAAAGTGCAATTTCTAACTTAGTTCGCTGACAAACGCCGGCCAAGTGTGAATCAGCTTGGATGAGCGGTTCTCGAGATATGTGGACACACACATACAACAGTGATTCCTTGCTTTATAGTACATAGTATAGTTATGCTTTACATAAAACATATTATATATTTGTTTATTCATATAAGCAAAGGTATATTGAAGTGTTTACGTTTCCCAACTGTCTTCAAGCATAAAAAGAACACTTGAGGTGTCTGACTGATCTTTTAATTGAGCCAATTAACACATACTATATGGTGCTATATGACTGCTCTGTCCTGTCTGTTTGTTTGTCACTGTATTGAACTATAGTAGCTATTAAATATGTAAACCAAACTATGAACCTATTGTTAAAAGATCATTTTTTTTAAAACTGTGACATTGTTCAATTAAAGCAA